TCATGACACTCGGTTACGGCCGAGCAAAATTTTGAAAGTACTCGTTGTGTACATGTTACGGAAGTCTGAGTCGTCGTAACGTGAACCGCCGGTACTACCTACTGACGAAATTTGATACCGGGTCCCACATTTTCGTCGCGGTTCGAGTCGAAGTCGACTCGGCCGGAACCCACCATAGGTAGCTTGTGTACTAGCTGGGCCGCCTCATATTGGTTTTATACTGCCAGGGCGGCCATGCACTGCACCATGGCTTCGGATCAAGTTGCATGAGAAGGTATAGCCGCTGCGGCCAGCTAGCTTCTGAGCTGATAGCTGGCAGGGTCTCCCTGAGGCCCATGATCGTCGGCTTTTTACAGGAGGCACATACATAATGCTGCATGAAGGACTTTATGCCACCATGGTGAACAGGTGCAGCCTCCGCCCGGACCGACGGTCTTGCTTGAACGAGACAGTTCACGTGGTGTGCAGATCAGAGTATGTAAGCATATAAGCGGGCAGGTTGACGCGGAGTTTACTTGCATGTACGTTCGATAATGTGTTCAAGGAATATGCAGCCGCGATAGTGAGGCCCGACCGGATCAGGAACGTCATGCGAGAACAGTAGTTGAAAGGCGACAGATAGGTGCACTTACATCTCATGCTGACGCACCTCCAGACCAGTGCAAAAGTCACAAGTGTCACGAAAACTACCCACAAGGACGATCTAGGACTTTGACGTGCTCAATCATCAAGTCAAGGGTGTTGCTTTTGAACAAAAGCCTGACCCCAAAAGCAAACCGAAAGCATGTACAACTTTCGACAGTAGCAAAACTTCGACAGTCTACTCCTGATCAGCGGCTCCCGTGCTGACGGGGGCCGCTGCTGGCACAGGAACTTCCTGCTTTTCTTCCTCCTCTTGTTCTACAGGATCGTCGAACTCTTCGTTGTCAACAACTGGCCGCTGCTCCGACGCCTGCGTTGCACCGCCGCTTGACGTTGCTAGCTGGGGACTGCCTGCTGCTTTGTCCACCAGGCCGAAAAGGGAGATGATGGCGCCAGTGCCCAACTGGACCGGCCGCTGCAGCAGCCTGCACGAAAATCACTTTGACCATCAAGGGCTCGTAACCCGATCATGAAGGGCTTGTGACGCGAGAGAGTACGCGAGGGAGAACCCTTTAGATTTCGCAAAACCATCCTCCGAACAGGATAAACCTCGAAGTCTCCCCTTGGTCCCCCACAAAGGACTATCCCTGGCTTGTTAATCTTTCAGCACTTGCACGCTCAGGAACATTGACCAGAAGTCAGTTAACGTAAACATTCCCGCTTAAGACAAAGTTGAGACACTTGGCAGGGAAATACAGACTATTCCAACTCAGAAAGACTGTCTCTAGTAATCCAGAAATCCTGTCCGCGGTTCTGACCTGAGATCCGCCTTGACGTCGTCCAGGCTCTGATAGGTCTGCACGCGCGAGTAGATGCTGGAGGCGATACCGATGAGCGCAATCAGCTGCAGCGTCTTCTCCCATTCCCACAACGCCCATGACCCCAAAACCACGCCCTGCACCCAACGCGAAGGTGAGTGCTATGACGGAACAGGTTATGAGAATCGCAGAATTCATCTCAACTGTTCTAAGCCCGAGACGATTGTAAAACTGTGAAGCTTTTACAATGGGAAACTCCGCCTTCAGAACAAGCAGCAAGTGGATGGAGAGTTGTGGATTTGGTTGGACCCACTTGAACTTCAAGATGACAACCAGGACGAGTGTCGGCAAAAAAAACAGTACGATTGGAGTGGCGGACACGTGTCAGATAACGGATTGAATTTCGAAGGGTTGGAGCGGAATATGAATGTTGCTTAAAGCACACAAGGAGGCTGCATCCGCTGCAACCTTCAAAGCCGCTCCTCATTCTTGGTCCGTACACGAACTGTGTCTTGTCCGTCTCTGGTGTGCACGATGTTAAACCGTATCTAGAGCGTGCCAAGAAAGCTCACCGAGGCGATGCTAGTCGCGAGGAGCGGAGCAGGAACCCCCGTATCTTCCGCAATGAATGCTGCCTCCTGCAAACAGAGCCACGGCCGACTGTCAAACTTGGCGCCTCTGAACTACTCAACAGACACCCCAATCAGTGCGTCTTTCGAGGAGAATTGAGTTTGTCCAGTGCGATGCGAGCCGAATCCAGTGATTGGACTCAGGCTCAGAAACGTGCACAGCATCTTTGCCTCGCTGCATAGGGTACGACCTTGAGAAACACGAAGCATCTCGACTTCGTTCTATACGAAAGTGTCCCGCTCAAAAGCCCCTAGACGAATCTAGGACAGACAAGCATAGACTGCCTTTACCCAAGGGCCACGGCAGCGCTCACCTCCTTGAGAATGGCGACGGGTTTCTCCGGGACGTCCTCCCTGGTCGCCTGGCTGGCGGCCCACGCAGCGTAGCCCCCGTCTAACCGATACGCCTTCTGCACTCGCAGCCAGCACGCACAATGAACCATGTAACATTTTCAGCAGGTCCGATGTTCCAGACGATAAAATCTCGAGCTCCTGCGGGCGGACAGGTGAGCCGAGGAAAGGGCTGGAAAGAGTCCTAGACGAGGGCCACGCTTATGCTACGAGGGCAACCCGTGTGCGTTTCACAACGGCAGGCAGTCGCAAAATCAAATACGCCCTGCCGAAGATGAGCACCAAACTTCGCCTCAAGATCGTTGCGCGAAAGCTTCCCTTACCCACTCCGCTGAAGCGACAAAATGGAGCCAGAAAATGAGAGTTGCAGGGACGTTTTCCAATCCGCTAAGGTCACGGAGAAGAGATAAAACAAACGACAGATGCAGGGGCGGTTGGCAGCTGGCGTACCTTGACACCCGCGCGGGCGACTGCCCGGGCAACGTCCTTGGAGGCGGCGCCCCTGTCGTCCATCACAACGACCGTGCTGCCGGACTGCATGCACACCAGAGGGCGACGTCAGTTGCGTGCTCAGAGAAGGGCGGGGAAAGTCGCCCAAAAAGGCTGCCTGGATGGCTTGGCGATTGCGAGCAAGTTGATCCGTCTTTCGATGCGTGTGAAGACTGCTAGGTAGACCCGAGATGAGGGACGGCCTTTCGCGGCCCCCGCTGGCATTGGCAGATGTTTAACACGATCATGAACAAGTTCACTCCACACATCTGGCGTGTGTTGTAGACAACACTTCTCGGTAACTGTACGGCCGGCGACACTACGCGACGGAGATTGGTCGCCCTAGTCTGCAAATTCAGACATTGCAAGTGCGCCAAAATTTTGGCAGTCGCGAGTCATAACGCAAGAGAGCACGGATGGTGTGCGGTGCATGGCTCACCCCGACGTTCTTGAGCCCCTTGATCTTGGCGGCCAGTATTTGGTACTCGACCGCTGCCGCATCGCCGACCAGTTTCCGCACGCTGTTGTCCAGCTGCCAAAATAGGAACGGAACCGAGTCAGTGCAAAACGGTTAAGATTGGTAAAGGCCTGTTGAATCGCACAATGAAACCAGAGCGCCTGTTAGACTCGAAAGGGACAGAATGTTGACCATCACCATTCGCGTCTTCAATTCTAGGATGCGTTCTCGTCAAAGTTAAAGAACTACCTGTATTCTGGACTAAATTAGTTTGTTGGTTTGAAAGGGCCTCAGGTGCGGAATACCAGAAGTTGTTATTTGATATGCTGTCTATGACAGACAATAGGACTTTGGGGTCAAAGCAGCGCCCTTTGAAGGCCTGCCGATCAAGTGCGGCCAACCTCTGACGAAAAGCACACCCTAGGTGGAGATCCGATCGGCAATTAAGGGATTTCTATGTTGGCAATGAGGACGCAAAGTCACGAGTTTTGACGGAGCCCTTATCCTGCTGGTTCAAATGTGGGCAAGCTCGACTGGGCATGAACAGAAAGTTTGGGAGCAGTTTTTCACCTTCTCGAACTCAACGCTGGCCTGCTTGAATCTGGCACCCCGTTTTAGAGCGGGGATGCCATACGAATCCCTCAGTTTCTGCAGAGCAAACACGATCCAAATCAGCAAGTTAATACATGAGCATCACAAAGGATTCCTCTTCCTTAAAAGGCTCGAAACGCGGAAACACAGTGAAGAAACGGTCCTGATTCCTCTCATTTTGGCCTCTCTGTTTCTTTCCTTTGTTTTGCACTCGCAACAGTCTCCCAGCATTCCCGAGTAAGGCGGCTCTACGAGCGATCAAACGGCATGACTGCAGCTGCGGCATCACTACGAATTGGGGGCCGGAACTTGCAGCTGCGGCATCCCTACGAAGTACGAGCCGTAGCTAGAGCGGGGGCTCACCTGGGGCCGGATGTCGACCAGCAGCGCTTGTCGCTCCTTTTGAAGCAACTCAAGCGCCTCTTCGGGGGTCAGATCGCCCCCGTAGCCCGCCTTTTCTCTCAACCACCAGGTCACCCTGCAACAAATCAAACCTTCTTCATTAACGTCATTTCAGAGACCGATAGAAGGTGGGTTCAGAAACTCATAGAGTTCTTGCTTTCTGCCTTCTAGCAAGCTTTCGCATGGCCCTGGCACGAGAAAGACGCCCCCGCAAGTCCCGTTAGCAAAAAGTACACCACACGTACTTTGCGAGACTCGATAGGTCTTTCTTTGCAGCTTCAAGTTGCCACTCACACTAGCGCTAGAGTTCCGCCACCCACGAGCAGAGCTGTGACTGCGGGGTCGTTCGGGTTGAAGCCCACCGCCTCCTCTGCGCTCACCACCAAGCTGCCTGCAACCTTTCCTACCTGATAAACACAGAGAAGAGTCGTAGTGGTTACATCATACGAACACACTACCCGCAACTGCAGTCGCTTAGAGACTGCAGTCCGAGATGGATCCTCAGCGGTGTTGAACCACACTTTTTGATCCGAGAGCAGAAGAACGCTCTTGTGCAGTGACAGAATGAGAAATCTTCCTGGAAGCAACTTTTATTCAAGAGTCCGACAGAATGGAGCAAGGCACGAGACGGACTTCTCAAGTGCACGAACTCTACAGAACGAACTCTGCATATTGGAACAGCCTTATCAAACGGATAACCCACTTGTCAGGGACTTTTCTGAGCATCTCCCACCTCTTTGAGCACCTCCTGCAGCGGCCCGCTCAGCTCCCCCGCCGTCTTCTTCACGCTTACGAGCACTTCCCGCACTTCCGGCGGAAGCGCCCCCTCCACCTCTTGCGAGACCCTGGCCGCCGTGTCGGTCACTCCCGCCGACGCTTGCTCGATTGCGCTCTTCAACGGCCGTCCGATTCCCCTGATTGGCTCGAGGATGCTATCGGCTTGAGCTGTGAGTTGAGAGGAGACTTGGGAGCCCGCCCCCGACACTGACTTGGTGGTTGAGCTCACTGTGTTGGAGAAGGTATCCTGGGCTGATTGCACGGCGCCAAAAAAGCCGTTCTTGATGCCGTCGAGGGACTGCTTGGCCGCAGTGATGGAGTTTTCGACAAAGCCGGTAGCGCCGCTGACCGTGTTGCTGAAAGTCTCCTGCGAGGGACGCAGACATTGTTCTGACTTTCAGGGACTTTTAGGCATGTGTTGGAAGCACGGTGACTGTCTGATACCTTACTGAATATGTGTCGGCCGCAGGAAAGATTCCCCGAAATGGATCAGTCTACAAAAGATCTCCCACAAAAAGACTTTCTAAGGAGAAGCCCGGTGAAACTGACCCACCCACTGCGAGAACCGACGACTCAAGCAGAGATATCCCAAAGCCTCGAAACTTGTGCCTGCAAGTGCTCAACCTAATTTGCACCCATACCTGCGCATCTTGAAGCACATCATCCACTGCTGCCTTCCCTGCCCCAAGCGCTGCCCCCGCGCTATCCACTGCATCTGAAACGCTCTCCTGCGCCGCAGTGACCGAGTCTGACGCAGACTCCTGGAAAGACGACAGTGCGCCTGTGATCGCCTGCCCCCCTTCCTCCGCTGCCACTGGAGCGCTTCCTTGCACCCCTTCTATCGCGCTCGGGGCTGCTTCCTCGACAACGCTGGGCGAGACCTTGTCAACAGATTCCAGCATGGTCTGTGCGCTGTCGGGCACGCTTGGAGGTGTCGGTGCCGACAGCTCCTCAGGAAGATTTTCAATGGACGGTGCTGAGGGCTCTCCTGCATTTAGGGCAGGTTCTGATGCGTCCGTGATGGACTCGGCGGACTTGCTGGTTAGCTTGTCAGCGAACGCTTTGAAGGCGTCTTGCACAGACTCCAGCCTGTCCTGAGTCCCCTCGACAAGGTCCTGTAGAGCGTCCCCCGCATCCTCAGCCTTATCCTGGGCACCCTCTGCAGGGTCCTGAAGGGCCTCCCCGCCCTGTGGCTTTGACAGGCTGTCTACCCAATCACCAAAGCCGCTCTGAAAGTCCTGGATGGCTCCACCCGCCTTCTCCCCTGAACCCTCGAACAAGTTCCTAGTTCCTTCGAGCACGTCCTCCACGCGCTCCTTGGCGTCGTCCATGACATCAGCGGCCAGCTCTTGCGCACCCCCCACGACGTCAGCGGCGCGTTCCTTTGCGTCGTCAACAACATCATCTAGACTAAGCTGAGATGCGTCAGCCACATCTTTGAGTGAGTCTTGTGACGCTATAATCTGATCGACCGACGTGTCGGCTTCTCCAACTTGCACAGAGGCTGCTTCTTCTAAGGACAGTTCGTACGTCTGACTTGCTGCTTTCGCGCTGCTAGCTGTGAGCAGTTGGCCAGTGCCTAGAATACCGGCTGCGCTTTTCAGTGGTAGCTTGCAGGAATTGAGTCTACGCAGGCCACCTCTTCCCAAAATGTACCCCGTGGCAGGAACTATCCTCAAAGCACAGCCACCCTGCGAATATGGAATGGAGTATCACCTTAGCACATTACGAGTGGGTGGTTGTCAAAAGCAAAAAGGCTCCAACTTCCTGCAGTAGTGCCTGACCTTGTGTTCACCAACCCATGGAAGCAGCCCCAAGTAAGCACCCTTCCTAGATAACAGGCGATGCCTTTTGAAGCAATACGTGGCCCATTTGAACATGTCACAATCACTTCTGACCCCCTTGACATATCAAGATCTGAGGCACATCTGAAATGGAAACTCATCCTTGTGAGGAGTGCCGGTTGCACTTACACATTCCACATTGTTGTAAACATTTTCTCTTGGACTTTGCCAGGCGACCTTTGTAAGCTGGCTCTGACTACGATCAGTTCCAACAATGTCCCAGTCTTCTCCCGTGCGCAGAGAAGCTGCATTGAGGACTTACCTCTCCTGCTGCCCAACCAGGTCCCCCAGGCCTGTTCCATGTGCTACTTGCAATGGCACAAGATCCTTTGCAGCTAGCGAGCTGCAAAGGTGAGCTTGCAGCCATTCCGCCTCAGCACTTCTCTCTCCCACGTTTGACCAACAGAAGCTGCACAGAAGGTGGTACCTTCTGCGTAAGTTGCCAGATCAGTAGGGGCTTTATGAAGTCAGCAATGTATGCAATGCACGAGAATGCACGATGACTGGAGGGCTTATTCAGCAAGAATGAAAAAAATGTTTCAAACCCCGCTAGCTAAGACCAATGCAAGCCTGGCTTGACGGGTTAAAGGACACAAATGATCTTCACTGACTGCAAATGCGGGTCTCACGTTGCAAACTAGGCAACTGCTTGAGCCCCAGAAAAATCGCTGCGCAAACTGGCCTGGAAATGAGGAGCACGCTGGCGCTGCTTACCATAAAGTTCAACTCCAACTTGCCGTCCTCAAAGCCCTAAGAAATGCAAAGACTTCATGTAGTGGCGTGTGACAACTGATCCAAACGATCAGTCGCCCAAGAACTTAGGACCTTTGTTGCATTGGCAAGCCTGGCGCAGGCACTGATCGTCCAAAAGGTTGCGAATGCAGTCA